TCTCCTTTATTAAGATCTCTTAATTGCCATATGTAATGCTCTTTTCTCAGTCCTCATCCATGTTGGTCTATTCACTGCATTTGACATTGCTGATCACTCTTTTCTCTTGGATATTCTCTGCTCTCTGAGTCTTGTGACATTCTTCTGGTTCTCCCCCAACCTAAATGAGCATTCCTCAGTTTCTGTCAATGACTCATCATCCATACCAGGTCCCTTAACTATACATGTCCCCCAAGATTTTGTCCTAAGCCTTTCTCTCTTCTCTTGCTAACCTTATCAGTTCCCAAAATTTTAACTAACATCTCTGTGTGGATAACTCCCAGATCTTAATACCTATCATCAGTCTCTCCCAAAAATTTCGGTTCCACATCATCAACTACCTATTGGACATTCCAAACTGGATTCCTAGAAACATCTTAAATCTAACATGTTGACAACTTAACTCATTATCTTTCCCCAAAACTCAAACCTTTTCTAAACTTCCCTAGGTAACCCAAGCTCAAAAGCCTATTGGTATGGGACTCTCCTCATTGATGGAGTTGGCGAGAGCAAGAGAGAAGAAATATCCAAGTTCTTCTAGCCTTCAGCTTTGAGAGAGAAGTGTTGCCATACTTTCTTCAGGTCTCTGAAGGGAGAAAAAGACTTTGGAAAAAAGGTAACATGACAGGAGCTAGCAATCTCCATTATGTCCATATTCCCAGCTTACTACATTAGAGACTTTGAGGAGTTACTCCTTTGGGGGAGATCTTGGACTCTTTCTCTTGGTTGAGATGAGATATCTCACTCCTAATGGGAGAGGTCCTTTAATATATTGTTTGGTATGTATGTTCATATGTAGACCTTCCCTGATTTCTATTTTGCTATCAACTTTTATAAATAGGTTTCCTTGCTATTTATTATGTGTATGTTTATTGTGGAACTTATATTTGGTGGGAAGGGAGTCAAACCTTGAATATAAAGTTTGGAGGGTCCCTGTTCCCATTAGGAAATAGCAATCAGAAGTTTAGCTTGAATCTAAAAATTATATCTCTTAGACTAATAAAACTTAAAGGAACAGAGAGATATAATTCGACCCCAGTTCTTCCCTCTCTCTCTGAGGAGAGTAGACTGGTGGCCAGTCTGACCTCAACCTCCTGCTTCCAGTAAGAATTAAAATCTCCTTTGAAGAACAGTTGGGGTGTGTAGATATAATTCGACCCCAGTTCTTCCCTCTCTCTCTGAGGAGAGTAGACTGGTGGCCAGTCTGACCTCAACCTCCTGCTTCCAGTAAGAATTAAAATCTCCTTTGAAGAACAGTTGGGGTGTGTGTGAAGGAAAAGCTAATGATATAACTATTCTGGTTTCTCTGTGAGCCTAATATAACACACCATATTATTTTCCATATATTTTAATATGTACTTGTTATCTCATCCCCCTCCCTCCATTAGAATGTAAACTCCCTGCCAGTAGGGAGTGTTTCAGGCATTGTATCCCCAGTGCCTCACATAATGTCTACTATATAAATGTTTTCTGATTGATGAGTTGATAGAAGAAACCTAGTAGTCCTGTGCCATCAAACAAATATTTGTCCAGAATGTCATGCGGTGTAGTAGAAAGAGGCCTGGTGTTAGAGACGTGAGACTCAGGCTTCTCAGATGTAAGCTGTTAATCTTCTTGTGATGGGGGGAGTCAAATTGTTTCTGACATTAAGTAGACCTAATCACAGAATGTCAGGGCACAAACACAGAGACAGGAGAGGGCAGGACACGCCTGGGGATAAAAATGATAGCTTAGATTTACTTAGTGTTTTCAATCAATCAATCAATAAGCAGAGTGCATGACGATTAGTGGAGTGAAATAAAGCAGGAAATGTAGGTTTTACTCAGATGGTAGGTCATGAATGCAAGATCAGGCATTTGAATTTTATGCTATAAAAAATAGGGAGTCCACTAAATTTTTTTTTTGTGCAGGTGAATGATTATGTTTGTAACCTCAGTCCCAAAGCTCCCTGTCTTGTTGCCATATAGCAACACCTGTAGTATGTTAGAATTAAAAAGATCGGCCTTTGCTTTTGGGGCCAATAAAAGAAAAAAACAACTATATACACCAGAAAGTGTAGCAATAATAAGAATTCATCGTTGTCTGTCCTTTCAAAGTAGGAGAGGCAAACATGAAAGGAGAAAAGTAATGCTACATTCAGAGAGTAATGGATAAAGTGTTCCTTTCAAATTCAGATATCAGGTTTACTGATTAGTCTTTGATATTGTTTGTAACAAAATCCCAAAGTATAGGATTTTGTCTCCTTATTGGTGGAGATCAGTGTCTCTTGCCTATATGAAGGGTCAGATGGAGTTGTTGAGATTGGGAAAGAAGAAAGCTCTTCACTTTCTTTTGAGTCTTGAGTCATCATTTGAGTATTTTTGGGTGCTTCTGTCTTTTTGGGCACTCCTGGCTTCCAGCTTCAAGGGAGAAGATGGAAGATGCCAATTCTACTTCAGGTTGCTGAAGAAAAAGACTCAGGGAAGAAGCTGACATGAGAAGAGCTGGCTGACTGGCAGTCTCCATTATGTTTCTTACCCCAGCTTGCCTTTGCCTCTCTCTGTCTCTCTCCATGAGTTACCTGGCTCCCACTGGGAGAGTTCCTTCACTCTGTGTTGTCTGGTATATAATCTATATAGATCTTCTCTGATATCTGTTTTGCTACTGATTTGGATAAATATCTTTTCTTGGATAAGTCCTATGGGTGTTCATTGAGGAACTGGTATCTGGTGGGAAATGAGTCAAGCCTTGGATAGAAAGCCTGGGGTCTTACTTCCCCATGATAGTTACCAATGATCAGAAGTTAGCTTGAACCTTAAAACCTTATCCCTCTTACACTAACAATATTAAGGGAGCAGATAGATATTATTCTAGTCTGGGCTCTCTGAGGAGAGCAGTGTGTCCTGTGGGCCTCAACTTCTTGCTTCCTCTCCAGTCAGGAATTAAAGTTTTCTTTGGAGAAGGGCTGGGGAGAAGGGACTAGAGATGTCTGCTCTGCCTCCCTTTGAGCCACACAATGATATCTCTATGCTACATGTGGGAGTACAGCCCCTTGCAACATATAGGGCCATGCCACATATTCAAGTCTGTTCACTGGTATTTCTCTTTCTTTCTTTCTCCCTTCCTTCCTTGGCAATTGAGGTTAAGTGACTTGCCCACAGTTACACAGCTACCAAGTGTTGTGTGTCTGAGGCCGAATTTGAACTCTGGTTCTCTTGACTCTAGGGCAAGTGCTCTATCCACTTCACCACCTAGCTGCCCCCTTATTCATTGGTATGTCTGGTTAGACTAGCCCCTTGGAAATCGATCTTGAGGTAGGGACTAAAGTTTTCTCAAAACACAGTTGGACTTGGAGTCAGGAAACCTAAATTGGAATATCTGAGCTACTTACTAGTTGTATGACCTTTGGCAAGATGTTTCTCCTTTCTGAATCTGTGTTCTAAAAGGATAATTGATCTAGTGTTGTAAGGGACGTCAGTGGCTATCTAATTCAACTGCCTCCTTTTACAAGAGGAAAGCTAGGCACAAGGAGGTTAAGTGATTTACCAGTGTCAGGGAGGTAATGCGTGGAAGTCAGAGAGTAATTTGAAATAGATAACTTCTAAGTCTACTCTGGGCAATTAGGTGGCACTGTGGATAGAGTGCCAGGCCTGGAATCAGGAAGACTAATCTTCCTGATTTCAAATCTGACCTTAGATACTTCCTAGTTGTGTGATCCTGGGCAAGTCACTTAACCCTCTTTGCCTCCATTTCCTCATCTGTAAAATGAGCTGGAGAAGGAAATGGTATACCACTTCAGTATCTTTGCCAAGAAAACCCCAAATGGGGTCACAGAGAGTTGGACATGACTAAATAACAACATAGTACTATTCCAGTTTTAGATACTATGAAACTTATGAAGGAGAAGGGATGTCAAGTCAACAATCATTTATATCAACTGCCCATATACACCAGGCACTATGCCAAGCACTGGGGATACAAAGAAAGGTAAAAACAATTCCTGCCATCGACAAGCTCACAATCTAATAAGGGAGACAAAAACTTAACTTACAAATAAGAAAGTCTACACCCTGTCTGCAATCAAAGTACCTGTGTTAAGAACTCTAGCTGTGAAATCAGAAGACTTGGGTTCAAAACACCAATCAGCCACCTAACTGTATGTGTGACACTGAGCATACAGTAGACCAGAAGTTTTCAAAGTGTGTCCAGGGATGAAGGGTCTGCAAGGTCAAAACTATTTTCACAATAATACTAAGATATGATTTACGTATTAAAATACTCCTACCTTTTCCAAATACCTATTTGTGTGAGGCTGGATTTCTCCAGGCATTTCAACCAAAGCAACATATTGAATGCAGCCTATATAAACCTAGCTGTCTTCTAGTAAGCCAGACATTAAAAAGATTTGCTAAAATTTTTGAAGCAATGCCACTCTTTTAATTTTTTTTTTTGGAAAAGAGTGATTTTCATAAATAGTATGCTATTTATGTTAACCCAATGTATTTAAAAATCAGTAATAAATGTTTTTACTAAAATGTATCAGTTTTAATTTCTAATGAAATAAATACCGATTTAACCCACATAAAAGCTGTATGAGATGCTCAATACTTTTTAAGAGTGTAAAGAAGTCATGAGACCCAAAAGTTAAAGGCTGCAGAAGACAATACGCCGGTGTACCAGGAACATAATTTCTCAATCCTTCTGGGGCCTCAGTCTCCTTGTTTTAAAATGAGTAGAGTTGGATTAGACGATTTCTAAAGTATCTTCTAAATCTAAATCTGTGATACCGCGAGCTCTTGCTCAAATGCCACCGGCCCGACCTGAAACTGCCAGGGAACTCAGACAGAAGCGCCCGGGGGCAGTGGCGCACGCGCAGATCCCACGCACTGGCGTGGGTCACCGCTAGAGGAAGGAGCCGCTTTCAGCCTTCGCCGCTGGAGCGTGCGCACAACGGACCTCAGAGTGACTTCCGGTGCGGCCGCCCGGGGTGAATCGGGGTCGGGTTTGGGGTGGCACAGGGAAGCTAGCGATGCGGTTCCGGGGCACGGCGCTGTACCTGAGCTTCTGAGCCGTGGCTCAGGCTGCGGGGGCCCAGGGGCCGGTCAGAGCCTGGTTTGGGGCAGGGGGAGAGCCCCGGAAAGTGGAGCGGAACCGGTCCTGGGAGGAGGGCCCCGGCCCAGATACCGACCCTCCTCCCACCCCCCCGTACCCCCGCCCCGAGGATTCCAGTAAGTGTGGAGGTGCCGAGGGAGCCGCGGGCCCATCCGGGGACGGGGCTGGTGCCATTGCCCTCCTCCTCACGGGCGGGCGGTGGGGGGGGCGGCGGCGTGAGGACCCTGGCGTCCTCGCCTTCTGTGGGGAGCGGCCAGTTCGGGAGTGGGTCTGGCCTGGCTGGGGTGCCCGGTCCTTCCTGTCCCTGGGGAGCAGTGACCAGGGTTACCTACAGGGTTATCTTCGGCTGACCCCTCTGACCCCCAGGAAGTTCTAGGAGCCTCCCCTCTTCCACAGGCGCGTGGTGGTGGTGATACCCCAGAGGTACTGGGGTACTAGACACCCGCCTCCATTTAACCTCTGCCTCAGTTTACTCTTCTATAAAATGGGAATAATAGTACCTATCTGGCAGGGTTGTTGTGAGGATCAAATGAGACAGTATCTGTAAAAAGCGCTTAGCATGGTGCCTGACATATAGAAGGCGCTATGTAAATTCCTTTGCTCTCCCCACTTTGGATTTTTGGGGGGATGTGGATAGATCCATTCATTTCTGGGTGGAAGTGGAACGACAGTGAATGCAGGCCAGTGTGTTTCAGTGTATCCCCAGCAACTTGACAGTCAAGTCAACAAGCATTTATTGAGCAGTTACTAAGTGCCAATCATTGTGCTAAGCGTTGAGGGTATAAAGAAATGCAAAAATAATCCCTGACCTTTTAGAGCTTACGTTCTAATGGGAAAGACAACATACAACCAACCATGTACATACAGGATATATGCAAGGTAAATTGGAAGTAATGTGGGAAGGAAGGCACTAAGATTGAGAACTGGGAAAGGCATTTTGCACAAAGTTTGAGGGCATTAATCCTAAACTTCTGTGAAGCCCAGATGATCAGGGTGAAAGGAGAGTTCCAGGCATGGGGGACAGCCCGGTGAAGATATCTGGAGTTGAAGATGGATTGTCTTGTGAGAAGAAACAAAAAGACCAGTGTTCCTGGACTTTAGAATATATTGGGGGGGGGCGGGCGGTGTTAAAGTGTAAGTGTAAGAGTGGAAAGGTAGGAAGGAGCTAAGTTGTAAAGAGCTTTAGAGGCTAAACAGAATTTTCTGTTTTATCCTGGAAGTAATAGGGAGCCATAAGAGTTTCTTGAGTAGGGGGTGACATGGTCAGATCTGAGCCTTGCTTAAGAAGATCGGTTTGACAGTTGAGTGAAGGATGAACTGGAGTGGGGAAAGATTTCAGGCAGGGAGATAGACTAGAAAGCTGTGACAGTAGTACAGGTTAGGATGATTCCACCTGGTTGGTGATAGTCAGAAGAGAAAAGAAGGCATATAGGACAAATGTGAGGAGGATAGAATGGAAAGGAGTTGGAGGATGGGAATGGGAGGGGAGGAGAGTGAAGATTTGAAGATAACAGGTTTTGAATCTGGATAACTGGGAGTATGCTTTTTATAGTAAAAGGGCAGTTCAGAAGAGAGGAATATTTTGGGAAAAGATAATTCACTTTTGGGTATGTTGAGTTTAAGATGTCTTACAGTTGTGTCACAGACTGGGTTAAAGCGGGGAACTATCATCATAGAGGCAAAACTAATTCTTGGCTCTCACCTTTTGTTTTCCCCCCCACTTCACACATATTCCTCTCCCCCACACAATTCCAGTCAAATTAGCCTGCTAGCAAACTGTTTCCTATACTTGGCTTTTTTCTCCCACCTCAGGTGTTTGATCTTTGTAGAGACCATCCATATTCCTCTCTGGAATAGGTTCTCTCTTACCTTAGCCTCCTAGAGTCCCTAGCTTCCTTCAAAACACGCAGTTCAGATGTTACCTCCATCTCCCTTTCCTAATCTTACTTCTTGTTAGTGCTGTCTTCTGGAAATTACTTTGCATTACTTTGTTGTACTTTTTGTTACTTTATTATACTTTGTATTTGCAAAGTATTTTGCGGAACTTTAAATCACTGTGTTTCTTTCCCATGGAATGAAAACTCCTTGAGGTCAGGAACTTTTTAGTTTTGATCTTAATATTGCAGGTGCTTAGCACGGTACCTGGCACATAGATGCACAATGAACGTTTGTTGAATAGAAGTTGGAATAGCATGTTAGAGTAGCAAGGCACTTCATGATGTGTAATGTTAGAGCTGAGAGGGTCCTTAGAACTTACAGTGTTTGGTATGTATACAGAGTGTCCCAAAAATCTTAGTGCAGACTTGGTTCATCCTGTATTTCTGTGGCCAAACAGTAATTTACTTCATTGCTCCGCAATTTCATCTGAATGCTTCCTCTACTAACTCCAAATACAAGCCCAGCATACTTTAGAAGATAGTTTTTGTGAGTTGTTTTGCCAGTCTTTGCCTGTTGGCCAACTTACTAGTGAAAAGCAATTTAAGATGACTTTAAGACTTTTTAGAGGGAGCTGACTCCCTGTTTTCTTCTGATTACTGGGTGAAGCTTCAGAATAAACACTGATTTTAATTTGTTGTACATCAAAAAGTTTTCATTCAACCTGTTTTGTTTTCTTTTTTCAGGTGATATTTCCTTCCCTCCCCTTCTCCCAACAGCTTTTTAAGTACTAACAAATTTAGAAAACTTTCTGTTGCAGACAGTTGCGCATCCACAGAATGAAACCTACACCATCAATATCTACTAAATTTTAGGCATCAAGTATGTATAGTAGGGATTATATACTCATGCCCACATTACCAGCTCTGTGAGGTCTTTGAAAATCACTTCTTTAAGCCACAATTTTCTTTAAACAGTTCATCTGTAAAATGGGGGGAAATACTTATGCAGCCTGCCATGAAAGTCTTTCTTTGTGCATGCCCTTTCTTATTTTAAAGTGCTGTGCAACTGGGAGCTATTATTACTTTAAGTCTCTCTTTTTTTTTACAAGGAACTTTTAGGTATAATTTTATTAAAAGGGTTAGAATAAAGACCTGAAAGAGCATAGAATTTATCTGGTTTGCCTTTGAATGAAGTTTGGCAGTTGGTACTGGGCTTATTTTACTCATACTGATTTTTAGAAATACTTCCACATGCAGTTAGATGAATTTCAGTATATAAATATGTGAATATTCATATTCCAACCAATCAATCAATGAACATTTATTGAAATGCCCATTATAGAATTGTGCAAGGAGCTAGGGATACAAGTATAGTAAATAAAATAATCCCAGCTTTCAAGGAGATGGCATTCTAATTGGGGGGAGGAGGGATAACAAGTGCAGAGATAAGTATATTGAGCAGAAATACAAAGGAAATAAATGCAAATATATGCAGGGTAAATGAATGCATGTGATAAGGCATTAGCCATATGGGGATCAAGGAAAGCTTCATATAGTAATAACACTAGAATTATACTGAAGAGAGTAACTCTGTAAAGTAGAGCTAAGGAGGGAGCGTACTCTAGGAAAAACCAGTGCAAAGGCGCAGAGACAGAAAATAGATTTCTGTGTGGGGAACATATAGGACAGGTTGGATGGATCACAGGATGGAGGAGGGGTTTAAAGAGATATGATGTCTAACAAGACTAAAGAGATACTGTAGTTTGGGGCCAGGCTGTATAAGGCTTTTTTTTTTTCATTTTTAGGCAGTTGGGGTTAAGTGACTTGTCCAGGGTCACACAGCTAGTAAGTGTCAAGTGTTTGGTCTGAGGCCGGATTTGAACTCAGGTGTTCCTGACTTCAGGGCCGGTGCTCTATCCACTGTGCCACCTAGCTGTCCCTGTATAATGTTTATATATGTTTAGCTTTAAAAGCTAAACAGAGGGGTTTATATTTCATCTTTGATAGGAACTCACTGGAGTTGATTGAATAGGGGACTCACATAGTCAGGTCTATGCTAAAGGAAACTTACTCTGGTAGAGTATGTGGAACAGAGAGTAGAGAGGGCAGAGTTATGAGTCAGGGAGACCCTTGCAATAATCTAGGTGAAGGGTCTTAGGTGGTAATCGTGTGAATGGAGAAAAGGAATCAAAGTAGAAAGAACATATGGAGGTAGAAAGAACAAGATTTGACAACTATATGCATGGGGTGATGAATAATGAGGAGCTGAGGATAATGCTAAGATTATGAACCTGGAGGCTAGAAGGATTCCTTTGACACTACTACTACTACCACTACCACCACCACCACCACCACCACCACCACCACCACCACTGCTACTGCTGCTACTACTACTGCTATACCAACAATAAGAAGTATAACAGGAAGAAAAAGAAATACTAACACTTATATAGCACCTACCATATACCAGGGACTGTGCTAAGCACTTTACAGCTGTTGTCTCATTTGGTCCTCACAACTGCCCTAGGAGGGAGATGCTTATTATTTCCATTTTACAGGTGAGGAAACTGAGATAAACAGAGATTAAATGACTTGCCCAAAGTCACACAGCTAGTAAATGTCTGAGGCCAGCTTGGAAGTCAGGTCTTCCTGACTACATGAATGGTCCTCTATCTGTTGAGCCTCCTAACTGCCCTTATGGATATTTGGAAAGTGAGAGAATATGGAGGAAAGATACTGAGTCCAGTTTTGGAAGTGCTGAATTTGAGATGTCCTTGGAACACTCCCTTTCAACATTTACTTCCACAACATTTTGAGTTCCAAATTTTCACCCCATCTCCCCCTCCCCCCACCCCAAGATGGCATGCATTCAGAATACTCCTTCCCCTAGTCTGCCCTCTCTTCTGTTTCTCCACCCCCTTCTCTTATCCCTTTCTCCTTCTGTTTTCCTGTAGGGCAGGATAGACTTCTGTACCCCATTTCCTGTATTTCTTATTTCCCAGTTGCATGTGAAAACATTTTTTTAAAACATGTGTTTTTAAAACTTTGGTTCAAATTTTTCCTTCCTCCCTCCCACCACCCTCATTGAAAAGGCAAGCAACTCAATATAGGTTATACATGTGCAGTTATGCAAAACACTTCCATAGTAGACATGTTGTAAAAAACTACCTCTATTTCCCTTAGTCTTATCCTGCCCCCCCAATTTATTCTATTCTTTCTTTTGACCCTGTCCCTCTTCA